CACAACTGATTTAATCTTAAGGAGTTGAGTAAAATATAAAATATAAAATATTCAAGAAGCTGTAATTGAAGTAAGTCAGTACCAACTGGGGAAAAATTACCGATCTAGAGATACTCCTTCAATGTTTGCCATGAAAATAAGTACAATATACAGGCAACAAGATATGTCAGTATGATACTGCATAGGCATTGTACTTCTGTCATTGGGTTTCATCATTCGAACACACACAGCTCATATTGTCGATAGTCCTGAACAACTGAAGCAGTACTTTACAACTACAAAAGAACCTGATTGCGATTACGTTTGAGAAAAATAAATGATGATCATCTTAAGCAGAATCTGTGTTTATCCTTTAGGAACAACTTCAGCTACATCAACAGCTGCATGCTTCCCAATTAGATAACTGAAAAACTCAGATGTCTTCCTGCTTCAGACAGTGCTCAGTGTTGGAACTTTAGATACATCACAAGAGTCCTTGTTGCATTCAGTTTTATTTCTACAATTCCACACTTTTCAAAACCTGTACAATTTCCATCATGGATGCATACGTGGGTGTACTTATCTTGGCAATATTAAACGCGAGTGAATATATATGAATATTATTAATCATTATTTTCACAAATCATTTTGCTGGAGCAGTGGTGCCTGAATGCCCCTCGACCCATTGCTGTTACCTGATTATGTGGTAATATTGTAGCATCAAATTATTTCAGCTATTCCAAAATCAGTGCATATACTGCCATCAAGTGGTATTTTTATGTTTTGTGCCTTCATTGCAAATGTCAATGTGCTACACATTATCAGTGCACTCCTGATTACTTGTCCAACTTCTAGTACTGACCATAAAAACATGAAGTTCAGGCTACATGATTATTAAATATTCTCAAGGAGTGAAGAGAGTGCATATCCAATGATCTGACCTGTTGGTACACAACAAACTAGAGATTGGAATACTATGAACTTCCATGGCACAATTTTTAAAACTGCAAATAGTATTTTTAAAATTTATGTTGTATCATTTTAGTAGCTAAGAATATAGAGCTTTTTATACAGCAAACATCAGGTTCTTTCTGATACTAGTAAGCCATAGTCTAGTGGGGAGAAATTCCACATGGGTTTAAGATACCTCATGTAGTATATTAGGGCATCCCTAATTTTACAAATTGTTGAATGTGGATTTTATTAAGTGCTTGCTTTCAAAATTAAGGCTGCATTTAAGAATTTGCCAAATTCTAGATACTGATATTGAGACACAGGTAGAATTTCTCCCGATAGATTGATATCACATTTTCGAGATGTCTCAAAGCTCTTCACAGAATATATTATAAAGTGAATTGACTGTATATTTTGTGGGAGAAAACGTGTCAGCCAATTGCACACAATGGATTGAGTGCCCAAATTATTATTTTTTTTGAAGGGGTTATTTCCCCCGAAAAAGCGCTCCGCTAATCGACTAAAAACTAGGTTCATACGACCTGCTAAGTAAACAGAGCCATGTAGTGTAAGGAAGCTTGCCTAACATTTCGCCCTACCTGGGAATTGAACCCAGGTCCTCTCGCTTCGGAGGTAAAGGCTCTGACCACTAAGGTACAGGACCTCAAAAAGTCTTAAAAGTTAAAAAGTACAATATTCTGTCACAGGGCACTAAATTAATATTTTGGGTTGAATACAATCTTCAATTTCTTCCAACACATCTCTAGCTTTACTAGCTTTGCATTGGCAGTTTATAAATCCTGAAAAACACAAGTTGCACTTTGAGTCTCAATTCCGTTTACAAAAACAGGAGAACATTTTCAAACATCTCACCCCACCTCCTCTCACTGTGAAATCAAAATTGAAAAGAAGATTTCAGCCACGTAAAGCAAGTTTGAAAGACTTATTAAACATTTATTAAATATATATTGTCCACAAAATACACTGTCAATTCATTTTACAATATATTCTGTGAAGCTCTTTGAGACGTCTGAACAACATGATATGGCACTATACCAAATGCAAGGATATTGTTATTTAAGCAACCAGATGGGATGATCTCAAAGATACAGAAAGAGTGAAAGATACTGTAATAATAATCCTTGCATTTGATAGCGCTTTTCACGTAATACTGCTGGGAGCAGTCTTTTCTATAGTATTCCTCATTGGATACTAACTCAAGCTCTAAGCACATAATGAAAAAATTATTGTAGCTTGTGAATAATGCAGATAACCCCATCATAACCCCCAATATACTTAAAAGTGAATTGACCGTATATTTTGTGGGCAAAACATGGCAGCCAATTGCAATGGCAGTGTCCCCCAAACAATAATGGATAGAATGAACAAATTATTATTTATTTGTTTTTTATTTTTTGAAGTGATTATTACCCCCGGAAAGCAACCTGCTAATCGATTTAACCAACATGCTACAGGACTCCAAAAAGTCCTGTAGGGTCCTGTAGATAATTAGATTCAATTTGCCAAATGTAAAGTTGACATAAAAAAATCCAATTAAGATGTTTTCTTCCAGCATCTTTGGCCTTTTCATTGAAGCTATGCAAGGTATTCTTTTGACATAGAAAAATCATTTAAAAAATTGTCAACTGACCGATGCCCTGATGTCCTCTGGCAGAGGTGTTTAACCATAGTGCTTAGTGCCCTAAAATGTCCTCTTTTCCAGAACCAGAGTAATGAACCTGGTGACAAAAAGGAGACTCTGTGAGAGACTGAAAATGAACATAATAATAATGCTAACAATTATAGTGCTCAAAGTGAATCTCAAAGTGCTTCACCCTATTAACTTGAAAGTGATAATATTTTGTAGACATTTGGGGAACCAATTTTGCGTCCCACAAACAGACAAAAAGAATGACTGGTTTTATCTGAGGGATTGATTAAATACAAGGAATATTATTATTATTTGCCTCGGAATTTTAAGGAAGGAAATTATATGCTGTGCGAGTTAAGAATGAGGAAACTAAAACTCAGTCAGACCTGAAATACATGTTTTAGATTCTGAAGAAGCTACAGGAGGGATTTGCAAAAGAATCGGTATCAAGGGTGTGTGTGTGGTAAATTGTGAAATGTCCACAATGATACATTAGAATGGCTGCATCATGTGCGTTTAAGATTTCAGGCAATTTATTTCATCCACACTCAAAAGTTTGATTGAACTGAAATGGTATGAACAAAGGCTCCTGACCATATTTATTAATGAACTGCTGAATTGAGTTGCTGTCCTTGTTTTTTAAAAAAAACATTGAGCAGGGTCCACTTTTGACTTCTTTCCGAAACCAGTGTTCTTCTTCCCCTCCCCACACTGAAAAGTGATTTGTGGGTTATGCCACATTGAGGACAGGGCAATGAAGATGCAACAGACATTATTTCAGCAAAATGACTGGGGTTCCATTTAAAGTGGTACACATTGTGTTAAGTTGCTGATGAGCCTGGGGAATCAACGCAACGTATTCAGTGTCCAGGCACACGATTATTGAACAGTAAGACAATAATGTTACGAGGATAGTCAGACCAATTTGGGCCTATAATAATAATAATAATGATAATCCTTGTATTTGATATAGCGCTTTTCACGTCGGGAGGACATCCCAAAGCGCTTCACAGAACACTGTAAAGTGAATTGACTGTATATTTGTGGGCGAACGCGGCAGCCAATTGCGCACAGCAATGTCCCATAAACAGTCGTAGATTGAAAATGACCAATTTATTATTGTTTTTGGTTTTGGAGGGATTATTATTAGGCTCTGTGTGGAGTAAGGAAACTTGCCCAAGGTTTCGCCCTGACCTGCCTGGAATTGAACTCAGGTCTCTCGCTTGCAAAGCGAGTGCTCTAACCACTGAGCTACAGGACTCCACAAAGGTAGTGCTTTAAAACCACTCTGGTTGCACCACGCACCAATTTCTCAGACTGTGGGTGGGCTAAGGGTTCATTCTATTCATACAGACCATATATATATAATTCTCTAGAATATAGAAGAATTAGTGGGGATCTTATAGAAACCTATAAGATCAAAGGGCATAATAGAGTAGATAGTGGGAGATTGTTTCTCCTGGTTGGAGAAACTAAAACCAGGAGTCACAACCTTAAAATCAGAGGCCACAACCTTAAAATCAGAGGCCAGCCCTTTCACACTGAGTTGAGGAAAAACTTCTTCACTCAAAGGGTGGTGAATGTATGGAACTCACTACCCCAAAGGGCTGTTGACGCTCAGTCGTTGAACATATTCAAGACTGAGATAGATAGATTTCTTATTGCAAAAGGTAGTAAGGGATATGGGGATAAGGCAGGGTCAGGTTATTGGCTGGAGTCAGATTAGAAGATCAGCCATGATTGAATGGCGGGGCAGGCTCGAAGGGCCGAATGGCCTACTCCTGCTCCTACAAGTTAAGAGATTTCTCAAGATTAGTTAAGACAATTTAGTTACATAGGAAATGTGGGAAAAAAACGCATTAAAGCAATAATCTCAAAAAACTCAAGATTGGCCCAGTTTACTACTCTCAAAATTCACACGTGACTTGACGTTACACTGTCGAAATTGCCCGAGAAGATTAAACTTTTACATTTTCCGAGATTATAACGACAAATAAGCCTCGCGTGCGACACGCCGCCTCGTCGCGTCTTCGAGAGAGGCACTGTACACAGGATATGCAGTACAGTGCACGTTTTGCGTGGGCGCAACAGCGATGAGACGAATGACCGAACCGGGAACATTTAGTCACTCCAGGCAAAAAGAAAACCAATGGAATAATGTGAAATAAATGTATGGTGGTGGGGGGGTTGTAGAGAGGAGGTGGGGGTGGGGGGGGGGGGGTGGAGAGGAGGTGGGGGGGGGGGGTGGAGAGGGGATGGGGGGGGAGGTGGGGGACACAGTGTAACGTGTGGTTTGATTACGCTACAAGGCACCACCACCACCACCAACCACCCTTTGCGGAGCTGCTCGGGTTTCGTCGTGGTGGGAGGCGGGGCACTCGGAGGCTCAGAAGCCGCCACGTCAGGGCATGGGAGAGGGAGGGAGGGAGAAGGCGGGGAAGACACGTTGCGCCAAGTGGGGTCTGGTCTGTGAGTGGCTGCCGCCGAGAGGCTCGGCTTTTGGACCGAGTGGCTTTAAATTAACTCACTGTGGGCTTGAAAACCCCACCGTTAGAGTGAGAGAGAGAGAGAGAGGAGAGGAGGTGACACCTTTATGAAGCCAAGTGACAGTGACACTGCTGCTGTACTCACTCACTCACCGCGGATCCGGGGCCTAAGGAACGGGCTGTTGCGGGTGGGTTTACACACAGACGGAGAGAGAGAGAAAAAAAGAAAGAGCGAAGATTATCTGACATTATATATATATATTTTTTTTTAAAAAGTGAGAATAACGCGTCTCGACGTTCGCTGACCCCCCCAATTAAAAGTCTTCGGGAGAGGAAATCCATCCAAACCGTATTATTAGAGAGGGAACAGTGAGCTGACGCTCGGTGTTGGCCGCCGCGGGTTGAGGTTTGGTCTCGAGGAGCGAAGGTTCTGGAAGCGGCGGTTTAACGGCTCTCCCCCCCCGGGCGGCGGTTGGGAGGATGGAGGCGCGCGCGCTGCACGAGCGGCTGGCGCCGGACGGTCAGGATCACCTGCTGCGCTTCTGGGGCGAGCTGAGCCGGGCCGAGCGGGCCGAGCTGCAGACGGACCTCGGCGGCTGCCACTTCCCCGACATCCTGCGCTTCTTCACCGAGGCCGTCAAGCTGTCCGGGCGCCAGCGGCAGAGGCTGGACGACTGCATGGCAGCCGTGCCCAAGGAGGCGCTGGGCAGCGTGACCAGAGACCGCGAGCGGCTTCGCGACTGGGACAAGGAGGGTGAGTGACTGACTGACTGACTGCAGCCCGACCGTGCCGGGGGGGGGGGGTTAAGGGGGCTGGAGGGGTGTGTGGGGGGGGTTAAGGGGGCTGGAGGGTGTGTGTGGGGGGGTTAAGGGGGCTGGAGGGGTGTGTGTGGGGGGTTAAGGGGGCTGGAGGGGTGTGTGTGGGGGGGTTAAGGGGGCTGGAGGGTGTGTGTGGGGGGGTTAAGGGGGCTGGAGGGGTGTGTGGGGGGGTTAAGGGGGCTGGAGGGGTGTGTGTGGGGGGTGGTGCTCCCCACGGGACATCGGTCCGAGTTTACTCCACGAGCAGAGTTTATGGCTCCCAGTGAACTGCAACCATCTGACTCTGGGATTTCCACGTGGAGGTGGGATGCAGGATGTGGTCCTCAGTTTGGTTTGGATACTCTTTAAGCATCGTGATGGGTTTCTTCATGTGTCAGGACACACATACACACTCCCCCCCCCCGCCCCCCCCCCCACCTCTCCAAAACAACTTGCGTCCTCTTAAGAGCAATTGCTTTGAAGCACTCTCAGAAAATATGCTTTTGGAAATTAAGTTAAATTAAATTTGACGTTGTTAAATCAGCGCTGGGTGGGCGGGTGGGTGGGAGGGGCGGCTGTGGCGGGTGGGTGGGAGGGGGCGGCTGTGGCGGGTGGGTGGGTGGGAGCGGGCGGCTGGCTGTGGTGGGTGGGAGGGGCGCCTGTGGCGGGTGGGTGGGAGGGGGCGGCTGTGGCGGGTGGGTGGGTGGGAGCGGGCGGCTGGCTGTGGCGGGAGGTTGGGAGCGGGCGGCTGGCTGTGGCGGGAGGGTGGGAGCGGGCGGCTGGCTGTGGCGGAGGGTGGGAGCGGGCGGCTGGCTGTGGCGGGCGGGTGGGTGGGAGGGGGCGGCTGTGGCGGGAGGGTGGGAGCGGCTGGCTGTGGCGGGCGGGTGGGAGCGGGCGGCTGGCGTGGGGGGGGTGGGAGGGGGCGGCTGTGGCGGGAGGGTGGGAGCGGGCGGCTGGCTGTGGCGGGAGGGTGGGAGCGGGCGGCTGGCTGTGGCGGGAGGGTGGGAGCGGGCGGCTGGCTGTGGCGGGAGGGTGGGAGCGGGCGGCTGGCTGTGGCGGGAGGGTGGGAGCGGGCGGCTGGCTGTGGCGGGCGGGTGGGAGCGGGCGGCGGCTGTGGCGGGTGGGTGGGAGGGGGCGGCTGTGGCGGGAGGGTGGGAGCGGGCGGCTGGCTGTGGCGGGAGGGTGGGAGTGGGCGGCTGGCTGGCGGGAGGGTGGGAGCGGGCGGCTGGCTGTGGCGGGAGGGTGGGAGCGGGCGGCTGGGGTGGCGGGAGGGTGGGAGCGGGCGGCTGGCTGTGGCGGGCGGGTGGGAGCGCCTCACCCTCTTTCGCCTCGTTCACGTCCCATCTGAAGTCCTTCCTCTTCGACCATGCCTTCAGTCAAAGAGCTCGGCTGAATTCCAAGTCTTGAAACTGAGTCAGCTGACGCCTAAATGGTCACTACATGTGTATTTAAAATAATAATTCACTGAAATCTACAAATTTAGTTTAAATAAATCCAGTTTCTAGTGACCATCTAATGCTACCTGAAGGTTTTTGAGAACAGAATCTGACTTCTGGACATCTGGCCAAGATGACTCAAGTGCATAGTTGCACTAGACTCTCCCAGTCTCTTGAGTCCATTGTCATACATTTTGCAATTTAAAATTAATCCATTCTGAGGGTAAAGCAATTGCTCGGTCATCCAAGCTTCAATTTTATTTTTTTTAAAACAACATCAATTAACCACATCAGAGGTTGATTTGATTAGTCGGTGGCAACAGGATTTGGAGACCACAGAAGTGAGTGCAATGACAACATCTGGTGTCTTTACAGCCAACGTACATAGAGCTGCCTGAGGGTTTATTTTGTTTTATTGTCTGTCTGTGTAGCGAAAAACTCCAATAAAAGTGCAGTATCTATTCCTGTCCAGTGGTGGTTTGGTACACTGTGCTCTGATTTATGCCTCCATATTCGTGCCTCCTGATTGACTGACAAAACCATTAAAATGTGCAAGTAGACTGCATTTTATAAAGTGACAGATTTAAGAATGATTTCTTATAAAAGAACCATTCCAGTCACAGCTGTTATAACACCCTTACATCTGAGGCACGAATGAGCAATGCAGTTAGCACTATGCGTCATTGCCTTGAATCATAAATCTTATTATCAGGGTGTGTCTTGAGTGTTCAAAGGTGGTTAGGGACAACTTGATATAACACTAATTTTAACACTACCTCTCCCCTCAGGCTGCTGAAACTCTTGTTCATGCCTGCTCCCCCTTCAGGCTGCAGATAATCCAGAACTCTGCACCCATGTCCTCTCCCATACTCCGTGACCCCATCTCCCCCACTCTCACCCGACTCTACCGGCTCCCTATCCTTCAGAGGATCCAGTTCAAGATCCTGGTCCTCACATGCAAAGCCCTCCATGGCCTCGCCCCACCCTAACTCTGTGACCTCCTAACCCCCTACCATCCTGCCCGTTCCCTCCGCTCAGCCAGTTCTGGCCTGCTCCACATCCCCTGACCCATCCGCCCCACCATTGGCGGGAGAGCCTTCAGCCACTCTGCCCCCAATCTCTGGAATTCCATCTCCCAGTCACTCTGCCTCACCACCTCCTTAGACTCCTTCAAGACCCTCCTCTTCGACCATGCCATCGGCCACCCCCCTTCCCCTCCCCTCCCTTACCTCCCCAACCCCAGCTCGGGTCTGAAATGCTGAAACTCTGTCCAGCGCGTTAGGACGTCTTCCCGACATGAAAGGCGCTATACAAATGTAATCTTGTTGTTATTGTTGTTCTTTAATTAAAATTAACATTTCTTCATTGGCACTAGTGCAGTAGTTGGGGGACTGAATTCTACACTAAAACAAGTTCTTTTTCAGTAATAAGTTTCTTAGTTAAAATGTAGTCAAAAACGATTGATGAATTTCTCCTCTGGTTGTTGAGTTAAATGAATCCTCAAGTAAACTTTAGTTCCCTGTGTATATGGACTTAGCGACTTAGAGAACAAAATTGCAAATGCAGTTGATGTTGGCATCAGAATGTTTTACTGCTGATGTGATGAGTTTGTAAAGTCAGTTTTTAAAAACTACTCTGCAGGTTTAGCATTTTGCTCTGCTATTGATAAAACTATCATTTTATAGTGTTGAGCCAGGTAACTGAAATTCCCAACTCCTCAATTCCGTATTATGGCTATACAGGCACAATGTTAGCTTTAATAATGTAATAATCCTGAACTGTTAAGTAGAGGGTTACAATAAAACCCTCAACTTTACCTTTGCTTGTTCTTTCATCGCGTTTAGCCATTTTGGGTACAGTAGAGCCCCACAAACAACAATTCAGTGGATAACGGGAGAATTACTGGTCAGGCTACCAGGAGAAACTCTTTTTCTAATAGTGTCACCAGAATCGTTATCTTCCATCTGAACAGGCAAATGGGGCACGCAATTTAACATGTCATGTCATCCAAAGTAACGTATCACCCAATGCAGTACTCACTCAATCTTGCATTGGAGACTATAAGCTCAAATCTTTAGATAGGGATTGCATCCACAGCATTCTGACCTAGATGCAAGTGTGCTACCAACTGAACCAGACCTGACACCATCCATATATATCCGGAGGGTTGAAAATACATCCTCCACAATGCTCCAGTTATTGACTTTGAATTAGGTAAGCATTCCACCCTAAGGGTAAATAGTACAGTTCCTCCTCTGTAAAGTACCTTAGGTTTGAGTGGGGAAAGTTTTTTTTAAAAAAATAACTTTGTACAATATGCGATTATCATGGTGAATGCAGTATTTCAAAGGCTACTTGTAATTACTGGTTAAACCCCACTGTGTTACTGTATGATCATAAGCAGAAAGATGGAGACATTTTTGGCCACTCCTGACTGGTTTTGCAGCCTTTGCTATTTGTAGTGAGGAAAAACTGGTCTTGAGTATTGTAGAAACCCCAAAAATGTACTAGTGTGCTATCGTTGAATAGTGAGATGTGGGATGAGCCTTATTTCGTCACAATGAATTGTAATTCTACGTGGTCATTAATCCTTAGACTAGAAGCGAGTTTGTGGAAATTTATCTCTCTTTAACTTTTGTTTGTTTTCACCTTGTACATGGATGTTGGAAAAGGAAAGCCAAATAGGAGAGAATCTTTTGCTTTTGCTGTTTTGTTAAATATAAAATTGTACTTTGAGTCACAATTTGAATTAAAGCCCATCAAAACGTCTAAACAAAAGTTTTAATACATTAGTTACAACTGGAAGGTCACACACCAGGGTACTGGAATGCAGTAGGCTTATTCAACTCCAAAAACTCTCCCTGGAGAAACTGAATTGCAACACTTGATACTGAAAAACAGAAGTGTGCCTTGATAAATCTCGTCAGCAAACCAGCCTAGTTTTTATTGAACAAAGCTTCTTTTTTAAGTACGTGATGGGGTGACTTGGATAAATCATTGGCCTGTACAGTCTAATACATTATGGCCCAAAAGTCAAACATTGCATTGCCAACAATTTCACAAAAGTCGTCTCATTTTCTTGGTCACTTTTTTAAGGAGGTTTACGTCTTGAAAGATTATTTATTACCATGAAATTTAAAAATGTATGATTGCATGTATTTTGATTATACTTTATTAACTGCTATAGTGAATGTGATGTTGCGCCTTGGGACGTCCTCCCGACGTGAAAGGCGCTATATAAATGCAATTTGTTGTTGTAATCTGATTTTTGAGATTTGTAAATGTTTAACTTGAGGAATTCCAGGATTATGAGCAATAATTAAATGTAGATGAATGGAGGGACACTCAATAAAATACGGTCCAAACATTTACACCTTCTGCCTTGCCTTACTGCCCAACCCTGCATTTGTGACATTATCCTACAGGAAGGAGCAATATAACAACAACAAAATTACATTTATAGAGCGCCTTTCACGTCGGGAGGACGTCCCAAAGTGCAGTCAGGTGTCGGGGCTCGAGCATGGGGGAGGGGTGGTACAGGGGTGAGGGAAGGCAGAGAGGTGGGAGAGAGACCAAAGGCACGGTTGAAGAGAAGGGTCTTGAGACCGGCCTTGGAGGAGGTAAGGGAATAAGCGAAGCGAAGGAACTGCGGGATGGAGTTCCAGAGTGTGGGGGCAGAGAAACTGAAAGCCCAGCCACCAATGGGAGACATGGAGCAGGGAGGAGCCCGCTGAACAGAGGGAGCGGGCAGGTTGGTAGGGAGTCAACAGTAATCATGTAAAAATAAAGTTGTTACATGATTAAGAGCAGTTCAAGTAAAGGTACAAAGAACACATTCTATTTTGTACAGCTTTTATTCTGCAATATCCATTTGTGCATTTTGCTGATGGTTTACTTAAAGCTAATATCTTTATTTTTCCCTGTGCATCTATCTTAGGCCTCTATCAAATTTCTGAAGGGAAAGTAGCTGTCCTGCTTCTAGCGGGTGGGCAGGGAACACGTCTTGGAGTTACCTACCCTAAAGGAATGTATGATGTTGGTTTGCTGACACACAAAACTCTATTCCAAATTCAAGCTGAACGTATTCTGAAACTACAACAGATGGCTTCAGACCAGTTTGGAAGGAAATGCACTATTCCATGGTAAGCACTGTACATCTATTTCAATGGGTAATCTATTGCATTATAAATGTAAGAAAAACCTATGTGTATAAGCAAATATGTATAGCAAAAGTCTAGTTGTATTTTTTTAAGCTCAACTTGCAGTTATTTCATAAATGTTAAGTCTCTTTGTATTATAATTTAGAAATTAAAGTCTTTTTTTAATTTATCCATATTCCTAGGTATATCATGACCAGTGGTAGGACCATGGAATTTACAGAAGAGTTTTTCATTAAGAATCACTACTTTGGTTTGCAGAAGGAAAATGTTATCCTTTTCCAACAGGGAATGTTGCCAGCTATGACTTTTGATGGGAAAGCCATTCTTGAAGGAAAAGGCAAAATTGCAATGGCACCAGGTTGGTATCATTTAGTATTTTTAGAAAAACAATCTTGCAGGAGGTCTGATCTGGATAGAAAACTACTTCATTATCATTTTACAGTATGGAATATTAATTCCAACCTTGTAGCATTTTTGCATTTTGTTAAATTTAAAACTGGATCGACGTGCAGAATTTACGTGTTTTATAGTTTTACTTCGTATATTTTTAAGCTGCTCAGGAAAATGACATTTGCTGTTCACAGACGGAAATGGGGGGCTTTACCGAGCACTTGGAAACCAACAGATTTTGGAGGATATGGAAAGCAGAGGAATTGGTTATATTCACGTATACTGTGTTGATAACATCCTTGTTAAGGTGGCAGATCCAACCTTCATTGGCTTCTGTGTGAAGCAAGGAGCTGACTGCGGAGCAAAGGTACATGTATGCTTTCATGCTGTTTCAGTATCATGGCATAAAATGATTGTAAACATCATAATTTTGACTTTCTCAGCTATTTTATAGCTATCATTTGGTTAAAGAACTCTATAAAGCATATCATTTCTCTGTTAGAGAACAAACATTTCTTAAACGTCAGATTTAGTAATATTGGAACTGCCATTTTCAAATGAATATAAGTAGGAAATTTTTGAAATAAAAATCATTTTGGTATAATTTGTAGTTCTGTGATATGGAAGTATGTTTTTTTAACGTAAAAGTAATCAAATTGTTAGCATTACCATGACCTAAACATATCCTCCAAATTCAATAGCTTTGTGTTAAAGTGCTCCTGAGTGAGTTTCATCCATTGTTGAAACTAATGGTGGAAAGTAAAGCTGCCTATTGAGGGACCTATACATTTGAGCACATTCTATGAAATTCTGGTGTTCTAACATGTTTTTTGGTTAATCATCAGGTGGTAGAAAAGACAAATCCAACTGAACCTGTTGGTGTCGTATGTAAAGTAAATGGCCTGTATCAGGTTGTAGAATACAGTGAAATCACCCTGGCTACTGCAGAGAAGAGGAATGCTGATGGACGTCTAACATTTAGTGCAGGAAATGTGTGCAACCACTTCTTTACACTGCAGTTCCTAAAAGATACTGTTAAGTAAGCATAAAATACTAATTTTAGTTAAATTCATTCTGTAAAACGTGATTGTCTGGTGCATCTGTTTTGTTGAGGATTTTTGATCAGACGGTCTATGAGACGAGATTCATAAGAACATAAGAATTAGGAGCAGGAGTAGGCCATTCGGCCCCTTGAGACTGCCCCGCCATTCGATAAATTCATGGCTGATCTTCTGACATAACTCTTAATTACCTACCTTATTCCCATATCCCCTAATCCCTCTATTTTTAAAAAATCTATCAGACTCAGCCGTGGAAGTGTTCAAGGACTGAGCATCTACAGCCTTCTTGGGGTAGTGAATTCCATAAATTCAAATTAATAATAATAAAAATTATGTTTATAAAAGTTGCTCCTACCTTCCAAAATGGTTTAATGGCAGTTGGAAGAAAGATGCAAATCTAATTTTATGAGGACTGAATAGCAGAAAGTAATTGAATTACAGAAAAGACCATATTGAATAGAAAATTGGAACAAAACTGTGACAACAGACAAAGCTGTTTGAAAATGTTTGAGCTGGATAAATTACAGTAAGGTTGTCTATGTTTGTTTACTGCAATACAATTTATATTGCATTTTTCCCAGGATAAACTCCTTTCACAGGAGTAACTGTATTTTGTGGGCAGCCAATTTGTGCACAGCAATATCCCACAGGCAGTATTAAACTACAAGTATTAATTTTTTTTGTCAGTCTCGGTCCATGAGCTGAAAATTTACAGAACCATTTGGCCAAAAGACTACAGAGCTGTCAACAGCACACTCCATTGTCAAGACATTTTGCATGTTGTATTGGGTGAAATGGTCTGTGTTCCAAGGTTCCTCTTGATCATTATAATTTTTTTTAAAATTAGTGCAGTTAAAATGAATAGATTTTCACTGAAATCTATGTCTCTACAAAAGAGGTGTAAAGTGCTTCTAATAATTTATACAGCAATATCGATCATTTTGTCAACATGTACTTGAGTTTTATTGCCACTCACTTAACTAGCACTGCAACTATATATATTAAATGAATATACTCATCTGCACATCACTTTCTATTACAAAATGCAATGATAAAACATTGAAGTGCCATTATTTTTTCATCAGGTAATAGGTTTTCTCGTTTGTACTTGCAATCAAACTTTACATTGTACCATAATCGAATGTGACGAATGTGTTTTTGAGTGAAGAAATTTGCCAGCATCTTAATCATTTGAGTGCCATGTTTTGTCTATTCTGCGTGATGCTACTGTTGAGTTAGCCAGTACGGGATATATTTAAATGCAATACCTATCCTTCCATTAATCTCCACATAGATATTTTCTTGAATGATTTGTTCCTTTACACATTATTGAATCTTTTTGTTTGTTTTTCTGTCAGTATTTACGAGCCTCGGTTGCAGCACCATGTTGCTCAGAAAAAGATTCCTTATGTGGATGACCGGGGGCAGATAATTAAACCAGACAAACCTAACGGTATCAAGATGGAAAAATTTGTATTTGACATCTTTCAGTTTGCAAAGTAAGTTCTGTTTTTAGTTAAGCTGCCCATGTTAAAAGGCAAGCTAAGCTTGCATTCACAGTTTTTGCATTGCAATACTGATTAAAGTTTACATCTGTAGGAAATTTGTAGTGTTTGAAGCTTTGCGAGAAGATGAGTTTTCACCACTGAAAACTGCAGATAGTCAGGATGGAAAAGACACTCCCACCACAGCACGTCAAGCCCTGATGTCTCTGCATCATCGCTGGATTCTTAATGCAGGAGGCCACTTTGTGGATGAAAATGGAACCAGGATTCCTGCAATTCCCAGGTATCCAAGGGATAATTTCTGCTGTAAAATTCTCCTTGATATCGGTTGATCTTTCTAAATACAAGATTAATTTCTATCTACTGTGGAATCTGTTTGATCCAATGCTTACCATTTGAATTAAACTTTGGACAGGAGAGAGCTTGGTCTGAGTCTCAATATCTGCGATTCATTGATGCTGACTTGGATTGCCCAAAACTATGCACGTAGTAACAGTACTGGATCTATATGTTCTTAATGTTTCTGGAACAGTTGAAAATTAGCCCATAAAGATTTGGTTTTGGAAGCATTCTATATTGAAAAGAACAATTATTGTCTAATATGACTCTGCATGTGTATCCCTAAACCTTATCAAAATGTTTCTAAAGTGCCATAATAACTGCATAAGCAATTCACTTCTGTGCCTAAAATATGGCGACTATGTTTACAAAATTTAGAATGACATTTGTAAATCACTCATTATAAATTATAAAGTCATTATAAATGACTTAGTAACTGGCTGACCATTAAAAGGCCTTGAAAATATTAAGCGCCGCAAACATAATCTAACAGAGATACACAGTCCCGGCTGATCAGGCCCAGACAGTGAGTGGGGTTTATTTAACATCTCATCTGAAGTATGGCACATGGAGTCCTGTAGCTCTCGGTGGTTAGAGTGCTCGCTTTGCAAGCGAGAGACCTGAGTTCAATCCCAGGCGGGTCAGGGCCAAACCTTGGGCAAGTTTCCTTACTCCACACACAGCCCTAATAATAATCCCTCCAAAACCCAAAACAATAATAAAATTGATCATTTTCAATCCACGACTGTTTGTGAGACATTGCTGTGCGCAATTGGCTGCCGCGTTTCACCCACAAATATACATACAGTCAATTCACTTCACAGTGTGTTCTGTGAAGCGCTTTGGGACGTCCTCCTGACGTGAAAAGCGCTAAATCAAATGCAAGGATTATTATTATAATAGAGCAATTTGAGTGATTTACAGATTTACCAATGGCATTTTAAAACTACATTTTTTTTTAAAAAATTCACTTAATCCACAACTATTTGTAGGATACTGTTGTGCACAATTGGCTGATGCAGTTCCCTAAAAAAGTAGGGAAATAAAAAACAAATAAAAAAAATTCACTTTGCAGTGTATTCAGTGAAGTGATTTGAGACGTCTCAAAAACGTGATAAGGTATTATAGCAACTGCAAGTATGTTTTTTTTAACTTGTCTATCCTTAAGTTGCAAACTTTTAATTTTATAATTAATTTTTCACTTTGTTAGGTCCATTTGTATGCCAGTTGTGACTTGTGTAGATGGCAACTCTACATCAGTGAGAGTATATATTACAGTGTTCTACAGATGATCAATTATGTTCCCATTGTCTAGGGGAAATGATTTATTTATAGTTATTTTAACAACCTCCTATTTAAGATGCATTACCTTGACTAATATAATACATTTTATTAATGTAATTAGTGAGCTAATGTGCAATCCAATATAACTTCAACTGTTTTCTAAATACTTTATGGGAACAGTTGGTGATATTTAATACAAGTGACAGAGACTGTCACACAAGTGAAAACACCATTTGTACCATTTCATACATCGGCTTAACTGCCACCATTAAATAAACACAAAGTGACACCAGCTGCTAGTAAATTCTGACTGTTCATCTGTTAAACTTTTATAACTGCTGAATGAGCGCTATCATTCATTGTGCTATCATTAGTTATTTGCAACTAGTTTCACAATTTTTTTGTTCTGTTTGTGAAATGTCTGTTTTATAATTCTGATTATTTAGAATGTCACCTTGTCAATCCATTATTCAAGTTTTACCCTGTTGAAAAATCACAGTTTTTTTTTTTCAGGGGAAAATCAGGACAAAACTTCTAATATAATCCATGTTTGTTATCCATTATCTCTATTTTGGTTTATGCAGTATTTTGAACCCTCGTTCACTGAGTGTAACATTATGATCTTGTTGCATTTTTATTTAGTTTCCATTTCCATTAATTCACTCTTTGTTCCTATGTGGCAGTTCTACAACTGGAATGTCAGAAGCAGTCACTACTGATGTCAATGACAAGTAAATATTTTGGGTCCAATTTAATGCATGGTGTTGGGTCTTGCTGCTTTGGTGCTAACCCATGATAGATTGGAGTGAAAGGCTTGCATCGTTTTACTGCCAGTGAAAAGCAAACCAGATTATAAATTGCTGTTTGTGTATAATCCTAATGGCATTAGTTCTCACTTATGAATCCTATGCCTTGTGGTAAACATTTAAACAACACTCTTGTGGATTATTTAGGGCCCGTTTGTTTGTGAAAGTTGATGTATTGTGGTTCCAAGCATCTTTCTAGAATTTGTTATTGAATGCAGCTGTGTATATCCTCCTAGATAGTAGGAGAGTTGAGAATAAAATTGATCTCTTTAAAAACGCAGGGGGTGGTACGTAATCAGAATTTTTTGTTCTTACAAGCAGTCCATTTTCAGATGGCTTGTTTTGCTATTGAATCTTTTAAAGTCCAAACAAATGTTTCAAAAATGTTTCCTCTAATAAACTGGAGCTTTACCAACAAGAGAGCTGTTTACTTAGTACAAAGAAAAACTGACTTTATCCCCCTGCATTCTGAATGCCAACAAACTAAAATAGAATTACTATTTAGTTTTGTGTGCTCAAGTACACATTTTTTTTATTGCAAGTTATTACATTATCCACAATTCATTTTGTTCATTCCACTCAACAATTGGATTAGGTGGAGTCCTGTAGCTCAGTGGTTAGAGCACTCGCTTTGCAAGTGAGAGACCTAAGTTCAATTCCAGGCAGGGCGAAACCTTGGGCAAGTTTCCTTACTCCACACAGAGCCTAATAATAATCCCTCCAAAACTAAAAACAATAATTAAATTGGTCATTTTCAATCTACGACTGTTTGTGGGACATTGCTGTGCGCAATTGGCTGCCGCGTTCGCCCACAAATATACAGTCAATTCACTTTATAGTGTGTTCTGTGAAGCGCTTTGGGACGTCCTCCCGACGTGAAAAGCGCTATATCAAATGCAAGGATTATTATTATTATTATAGGCAAAGCTGTATTTTACAATTATATCCATTTTTCTTTCTGTCATTTGGCAAATGTGATTTTTTAATAAAAAATATTAAAGCAAAAAATCATGGTATACTAATGGAAGGGAAAGAAGACCTAGATTCTTGTGGGATGAGAATGCTGTATATCCATTTTTTCCACATTAGTTAATTAACAATTAATAAATACAATTTGTTGTGCTTAAACACTGGCAGTTGTAGGTAAATACCGGCTTCATTAGACTAGTGGTGAAAATGACGGGCACTAACAAAGGATTGCATGTAGGAAAGCAGTTCAGCATGTTAACTTGGTCTGGGTAACTGATAAAGAATGGTGATGGGATTTTGTTTGGGTGGGGAGGGGGCTGGTCATTCAACAATGTTATGTCTATCCATGTGTGTATTAGAGTTGCTTTCGAGTTGAGTAGGCAAGAATAATAAATTAGAGTAATTGTTATCATAATGCCTATTGTTTTAAATTCTGTTCATTTAGCTTAAGTTTTTAAAATTAAAATTTCCTTTCAGGCTTTATCCATTTTATACAAGGTGGTTACAGTGGTGGAGAGGGGTATCTGCTCATTTTTTGTTTTCCGGATTGGTTAATAAGTTGTGTTTTCTTTTCAGCCTAAAGGAGCTGACTGATATTCCAATTAAATGTGAAATTTCTCCACTGGTATCGTATGCTGGGGAGGTGAGTTCTGTCTGTTTTAATTCCACTGTAGCCAGTAGTAATTGTTCAAATATTACTTATATTGCAAGCATTTTGCTAGTCATGCACTGAAAGTTGAACTGATGTTTGCACGTAAGTGCAGTAGAGTGAAAACAGCTTTACTTTAAGGCTCCATACTTCATTTTGCTCTAGTTTTATTATAAAGAAAACAACAATCCATACTAAATGCATTCTGATAATATTGGAAGTGTAAATGAGTTCAATTTTATTTAACTCAGAAATTGAAGACAATCTCTATTTGATTTTATAGAATTTTGTTATTAACTGCTTTATTTCAATGGACCTTCAGCTCAAACATATCTATGGTTTGTTAAAAATTAAACTGATTTGTATTTCAGGGCCTGGAAAAACGTGTTGCAGGACGAGAATTCCGGCCTCCGCTGATTATAGATGAGAAAGGGGTCCATGAGTTGACAAAGAATGGGATATAAAAATGGAGAGATGTGATTGATGCAGCAGACACTGCAGTTATATGAAATTATTATATTTTTAAGTCAAATTTGTGCAGCATGATTTAACTGGGACCATGTATACACAATTCCAAGATTGTAGATGGCAGTTAATGTATATTTCTCGAACCATGATTTAAAGATTTGTTTTATTTTCTTCAAAAGAAAAAATAGTAAACTATTTTATAGTTTTAGTATTTAAATAATTTGCATAGCTTTAGAAACTTATTTTTTCAGTAGAACCTATTCCGTGGGTGTTGCATTTTTGTAGTTTTCACTTTTGGCATTTAGCACCTGAATATTGCACATTAGGCTGTATGTCAAGCAATGTACTGGATTGCTTTTTAAAAAAAACTTTTTTTTTTCAAAAATATTCTGTTTGGTGGCAGTATAAGCTGATCATCAATTATAAAGACTGTCATAACAAATTGCCTTAATGGCACTTGTAGTTGAACAATATATTGTCACACAGATTCTATGTCCTATATTTACTGGTCTCGTGAAGGAAGAAAAGCTGAGGGCAGTTCCTCTGTGTGAAGTATATCCCTCAGAGAGTTCTCAAATATTTATCACCATAGAACTTGGGTAAACAAATCAATAATATATTTAATACCATTATCTTTATCATAATGATGCTAGCCTTTTGAATTTCTGCTTCTTTAGTCTGTGATGTGGTGGATGTTACTCTGCAATAACATCTCAAGAGAAGCTTCACTGGTAATGTTTGGCCCAAACTAGGATTGATCAAAAGTCACCGGCTGCTTATTCTGCTGATGGAAGGCCCTCTACGGTTATATGAGACCAGAGTCAGTTGTAGCCAATTTGGCTTTAATTAAAATCAGCAGAAATACTGTCAGATGTTTTAACTTATGTGATTAGTTTCTTGAGGAAGCGGAGGTGAAAACTGATAGTCTCTGAGAGGGTTAAAATGAGGATATTTTATACCAGGATAATTAAGTACTTCACACAAAAGGATCTCCCTCATCCCAAAGAGCTTCTTCTCTAATATTGTACACATGATGGTTTTCAATTGGTACTTAGTAAGCATATTTTGTATTTTAAACTGAATGTTTATTATCTAGTTCCCTAAACTGATAGTACTGTTAAAAGATTTTTAGTATAACTTTTTTCTATTTTCTATGACTTGTCCTGCCTGACCCATTCTCAACTTTAAACGATAATTTGGTCGATGAGGTAAGCGCAGTAGCATAAGTTAATTTTTTCTATTGTAAAGAGCTTTCACTGTAAAGAAAAATAGATCAGAACCATCACCATTAGAAAAATGAGGACCCTTAGGAGGCTGGCTCAGCAATATTGTTGAACCAGACCTTCCATGGGCTGTCTTGTCTGATGTAAAGTCTAAATATCACTAAGGTAACTCTGACCATCTTTCATCATTGTATTGGTCACCTTATAAAACTGAAGGGGTGCTTTTGTACTTTTATCAATTTATGGTACGTTTCTTTAACTATGAATGTAAATCTTCAATCGTGCCGAGATGCATTCTATACTTTGATACATGGCTTTTGCAGCAGTATCAAGTTTAAGCAGATATTTGTCCATTTTTGGTCATCTTTTAGTGAAATTGTCAAATAAAACCAATTGTAATTTTTGTGTGTGTGCTTACTGATTTTTGTTAAGCTGTTTCTCACTTCTGAAGGGAATTCATTTTATAGTTGTCTCAGTTGGGAGCACTTTATGCATCAAGATCAGAAGGGTGTAGGAAATCCCACACCATAACTTAAGCTCATCATGACATTGCAACACTGGGGGAGGGCTGTTATTGGGTGAGATATTAAAACCAGATGGCCATTAAAGTTCCCATGTCCTGGCCACCAATCTTCCATCTGAATTTGATATTTACTTGTTGCGAAGTCTCGGAAGATGTGATAAGGCGCTAGATAAAATGCAAGTATTGTTGGACTTTACTGGTGGAAATGCCTAGTTTAGTTAGATGGATAATTGTCTTAAAACCAGAAAATCAGACTGGAATTTGATTTATTGGGGTCTGAGGACCCTAATGGTCTAAGAAAAATATCTGCAGATGATTCAGAAAGTCCATCCAAATACAGTAATGAAAAACAGATTTGGATCTTGTAAGAAATAACACCAGTAGATGGCAGATGCAATTCAATGTGAGTAACAAGTAATAAGGGAGTTTTTAAAAAAAACACAAGAGGGCGTATTTGTTTCATGATGGTCTAGGCTGATCATTTTGAACTAGGGGTCTAGTTCGGGGAACTAGGAAGCAAGGCGAAGGCACAGATGGGCAAATTGATCGGGCTGAAGGAGTGAAAGGTGAATTATTTCCGGAGGAATGGGGTGCACTTTGTTATATCAGCAATTTGTTACCAAAGCGAAACCAAAACTGGGGCGAATTATTAATTGTTAGTGTAACCGTAGTTCACTTGCGCGCTGATTCCAAATTCCAAACCTGTTCCATTCTAGGTTTATAAATGGGAAAGGGATAATGTGTATATTTGAATGAAATAACTATCACAAAGAACTACAGTTGAGAGTACTGCTGTGGAATGATTTATTTTGAAGAGACAGCTTCCCTGTCAGTTTTATGATTACTTTTATTGCCTCAGAAAAATCTCTTGCTCTGGTACCGATAAAATTTCATTTCATACAGCTAGAGACTCATCAAGATTCTGCTTTGATTTTGTACTTTTGGTCAGTCAGAGGCACATCACCATCCTTAAGAGTATCCAAGCCAGACAGAGTTCCACATATGCACGCCACCTATGCATGGAAATCCCTCTTTATCCGAATGCGTGCACTCTCCTGAAAGACGCATGCTCTTTTCCTAACTCTGGAAAGTAATAGGTGCAGATGGGCAAGAGCTAAGACTTGGGGACAGCAGTGTGTGATGGGATACTTGTGGTATCTTGCCATTGCGAACATTTTCTGGCAAGCTTCCTGCTGCTTGTTCAGCTAGGGACATCTTACCCATTAGGGATTTGGCTTTTGTACAGAAACTGCCATTGCTACAGAGGTGATATCCATCAACATTATTAATTGTAATAATTGTACCAACTAAGAGTTTTGTTCTGATGCTCACACCATTGACATTTCACCTTTTGTTACCTTGACTGCCAAAGCAAGTCACCAATCCCACCCAAAAATAAGTTTTGACACTGTTTCCCAAGATAATTAATTGCAGTCTTCTTCAGAATGACACTGAAATTCTCTGTTAGCTTTCATGAAGCGCTTTGAGATGTCTCGAAGACGTGATAAGGCACTATATCAAATACAAGGATTATTATTATTAAAGAGGTCACCACATCTGTTTGGCACTTCCCCTCTGGAATAATTACTGCAGCAGAGGAAGGAAGTATTTGAGGAAGATGGAGGAGCTGTTCTTCATTGCACTGGCACCGCATCTAAGTACACTGACTGTATAAATGCAATCCTTCACCTCTATGGCTCTTAAACAAAATACACACTCTTAATTATGTTATGTTATATATATATATTGTAATCAAAACAACCTTGCATTTGATATAGTATCTTATCACGTATTCAAGACATCTCAAAGCGCTTCACAGAATGTACTGTAAAGTGAATTGACTGTATATTTTGTTTCCGGAGGGGGAAAAAAAGTTTAGAATCATGATCACTATGTAGTGACCTTTACTGCTTACATGTGGATGTTGGGGAACCACCAGATTTGGCTCAATTGAAGCCCACTCTATTTTTGTGTGGGCCGAAACAATGAGGCTATTCAAATGTGTGTGGGTGTGTGTGTGTTTGGAGAATGGTGGGAGAGCAGTGCACTTTACTCGACCCCAATCCTGTTCTTACTCAAGTGACCAGAAGCACAATCTGTTTGGTTTGCCCCTTCCAATCTTGCTACCCCAGAGTAACAGATTGATTATAGCACCAGTCTCCATATGCTTAGATCAGCTAAGTCAGCACAGGCTCAAGGATCAAACCGGGCATCTTTCTAAGTCTGATTGATTCAGTACAAACTCAAGCGTGCATTTATCCACTGAGCCAACATCGGCGATGCAAATCATTTTAACAGGTACCAGTTAACACCAGTAGGAATATTAGCACAAATAAACTATCCACATTTAAATCAGTCCATTTAAATACAATGGTAGCAGTCAGGAGGTTAAGAGTTAGCAATTGTGCAGAAGCAATGTCGTTTCAAAGTGCTTCACGGAATATGTTGTAAAGTGGATTGACTGCGTATTTTGTGGGCGAAACGCGGAGGCCGATTGCACACAGCAATATCCCACAAACAGTTGTGGATTGAGTGACCAAATGTTTTTATTATATATCATTTAACATTGAGCCCAGATCAATTCAAACCCATCTTAGGGGGTGAAGAGAAAGCTTAAATAGTGAGTGATAACTGTTCATATATTAAATAACTTCAGATTAAATAACTTTGTCTAATCCAAGAAAATATGAATTGCTTGCTGTAATTCTATCCCATCTGTTGCGCTCTCTCTCGGAAAATTCAATTGAGGTTTGTTTAATTCTGAAATCGTATTCAAACTGGTCAATCGTTTGAATCTTCAGACAGACGTAGTCAATGAGAAAAAAATACCTTTGCAGATTTGATTCAAAAAGCATACGTATCAGTTTAACGATGGGCCGAAGTATTTTGTTTTCAGACTACAAGTATATGAGATCCCATGAGTGCAAGTGTCATTCACTAATTCGAAGCACATTGTGTTTTTCTTAAGTAGATGTATTTGGAGTTAAAGGGAGTAACATGGTTAATTCGAAATCGATACACAATGAAGATTTTAGGGATAAAATGTTAATATTGCAGCCTCATTTCTTTCCTCTGTTACAATTCATTGTTTTGAATGAGTTGTAATCTTGTGACTAATTGTATGACCTATGGACGAACAGTACTTCACATTCAGTGAACAGCCTCCACTGTTTGTTATTACCATGGGCAGCTCTTCCCTTGGGCAGGAAAATGGGTCAAAACCACTGTGATTGGCCATAGTCAGCACCTCTAATTGAAACAGTCTGTGTTACTCATGGAACTCTGGGATCTCTGGCTGTCTCCCAAGAATCCCCAGAATGTTAGCTTTTTTTTTCCTTTGGAGACATCTTAAATCAGCTCAGTTTGTGACAGAGCAAGCACGGGGATTCTTAGAAATTTTAAAGTAGACATATATAAGTGGACACGGTGCATCCAAAAGCTTCCACAAAAATCTGCCAGTCGTCCATGCTGAGGAATGTGAGCTTTGGGAGAAAAGTAAGTTTTTTTTTGTTTTACTTTCTTTGTGAATCATTGGCCGGCTGTACTTGAATGTTCGTTTTTCTTTCTGAGAGAATCTTTGAAACTTATTAAGGCATAAATAGAGTGTGATCCGGGGAAACTTAACGGTGGACGGAGGCACAATATATGTAAGTTTCTTTTCACAAAGATAAAAGTTCTGAAAAGATGGAAAAACCTTTTGGTGGTAAAATTATTTTTTTATTGCTGTCTGCATGGCAGGCATAGCCAGTTGAGCATCGACAGCACAGAGCCTCTGGTTCTCCCTGGGTTTGCTCAGCAGGTTTTACATAATTTTGTTTTCAGGTACCATAAAGATGGTTCCAAATTTGTATACCCTCAATTAACATACAATTAAGATACTTCATCAATATGCTTTTATGTTGTGTTGTCTGCACGATTCACAATCTTTTTCCCACAACAGTCTTTTTTCAGTCATGTTGTCTTTACTTACAAACACCGGTTCTTCTGAACAAATTGTGTATTACAAATAGCTTTTGCAGCTGCTGACTGTTTCTGTATACTGTTACCTCCATGTGCAGAATCAGGCTCCTTCACATTTTTTTCCTGGCTTTATTCTTGGTGTGCAATCGAGCCACGGTATACGTCTCCAAAAAATCCCTCAAAAAAAATGTGGTCACTAAATCCATGACTGTTTGTGGGATACTGCTGTGTGAAACTGGCTGCCGCATTTTGCCTAGAAAAATACATAGTGAATACACTTTACAATATATATATATATATATAATATATATATTATATATATGAATCGCTTTGAGATGCTCATCACTCAATTATTTCCAATTATTGATTAAGATTTTACTTATTACAATATTCATAAACTGTGGAAAGTAAACAGAGGGTGGAAATGCAGGCTGGGCTCAGTGGCACATAACACAAGTATGTCTGTAATACGTTTATGATTGTTCCGTACATAAGGAAAAATGAAATGGATATTGAGTTTTGATTGACTTATTGTCAAAGAAGCTGGCATTTCAATTAATAAGCAGACAAAGGTTAAAGTTAACTATCTGTAGCAAAAAGGTTTAAAAAATCAGGTAATAAAGGCAGTAGTAACATACATCCGTGTTTCCAGACATTTTGTAGCAAAGGACTGTTGAAGTTAGAAAATGTTATAAAATTTAGCTTCAAAAAAAAACTCGGCATTCCAAGAGAGCAAAGTAATTACCGTTCTTTTCCCCACACATGAGGACAGTTCAGAATATACGCCTTATAGTTGGTGCAGAGATGTTTTCAATTTCAAAGCCATAAGTTAACAAACAGAAAACAAGGGAAATGTTGTAAGGTAAAGTATAATTGTTAGTTAAATCATGATTTGGTGGCATTTCTGACATATCGTAAATTGTTCCAGAATTCATTTTTACTTAGACTATTGAGGAAGATAAATACATTGACATAACTCCTTAATAAGAGAACCGTGGGAACTCCACTTCAACACTATCTACCTTAAGTGCAGAAGCTTCTCAGGTCAACATGACAGACTAGTGGTTACTGGTAGGAATCTACATGATGTGACTCAGATTCTCAATTAACCTGCAAAAGTTTTATTTTGCATCATAAATTCCTGGTTAAAAGCCCTAACGGATAGACTGGTCCCCAGCTGGACAAACAGAGGGAAGCTCGCCAGACAGGGCTTTCAGTGGCAGTTTATGCGACTTTGGATGGTTAAACTCCAGTAGTCCCCAGCATACACTCCAGATCTCCAAGCCTTGGCTCTTGCTTGCTACCCTGTGGTAATACCCTCTGGAATCGGGTAAACTGGGTGCATCTCTCCAGGGAGAGGGTGCACATCGCATTCCATTCCAGACAAGGGAATTTCCATGTGCAGGTGGCATACATGGAAATACAGAAAGCGCTTCACAGGATGTACTGACCAATGGAGTGACTGTTTATTAGTAGGCAAATGGGGCAGCAGAATTGCGCACAGCAATGTCCCACAAACAGCCATGAAACAAGTGACCAATTTATTTGAGTCATTGATGACCAAGACACTTGGAGAAACTCTTTTCAAAAAGTACAAAGGAATCTTTAATGTCCACCAGAACAAGCAGACGGAAGCTCGATTTCATGTCTCTTCGAAAGGACAGCACCTCGGACAATGCAGTGCACTCCCAGCAATGTACTGTACTGTCAGCCCAGACTGTGAGCTTAACGTCCCGACTGGTGGGGAGGCATTTTATAAGACGGAATGCTGGTAATAAATTAATTCTTAATTTAATTTCCTAAGGCTTAAGATTTAATATCTGGTGAAGCTGGTTTGTCTGAAATTGAAACTCATTACCAACGACTATAAAGACTCAAGAAATGAAAGACAATTTGGGATTCAAGTCCAGCATCTAGTTTACACAATTCTAAGCATGAAACTGCCAAATATGTGGCACCTTGTTGATAGGTCTGAAGTGTAATGGAAGTGTTATATTACCACATGTGAGGATTGGGTTCCAATATAGAGGCAGTGTCAGCAAGTACAGGAGTTATTGGAATCGTAAGTGATCTTCATCTCTTGGTCTTAATTCAATCCTGAATTAAAATCGCTAATTATTTGTATTAATCGCTTTTTATAATGTTTGCAGTTATTGGGTTTTTATTATTAGGCGGGAGGACGTCTCAAATTGCTTCACAGGAATTACTGTAAAGTATAGTGACTGTGTCCCAAAAACAGTTAATATCCATATATCAATCCTTCTACAAAAGTTCTAGTAACTGTTTACCTTTCACAGTGAAATGTCCATATGATGAATGCAATATTCCCCCAACTTCAGTGCACATCTGGCCTTACTTTTCTTGTGACAAACATCTCTTAATTCAAGCACATCTGAGACGTCTACTTGGAAAATGCTTGTCTAATGTTCAGCACTTTATAATATTGATTTACTGTTTTGCACATATCATAACATGTAAAGGCCAGCAATTTTTAAATTCTTTAAGAATTGAAGAAAATTAACCAACTTAATACTGAATTGATGAGTTATCCAAAATGTTGCACCATCTTAAATTTTAAGACTAAGACCCCGAGGAATTTCATCCTCAGCAGAATTACATTACATTACTACAGTACTCTTCTCACTGTTGTCTCCATCCTGCCTGCCCCACCTTTTACTGTAACGTGAAATAAAACTGTCACAATGATAAAACTTGGACAGAGGAATCAAAAAGATATGTAGAGACTCTCAATCTATTGTCGGCTTTTACATTTTTAACAAATGCACATCCATAAAGTGATCATTTATCCAATTGGGGTTTCAGTCTTCATATCTACCTTGGCAACACTACTTTCTCTTTCCCTCCGATGCCTGTTTTAAACACTCAAGGACCAATTCTATTCTGTTACAGTGGCTACTGTTAGTGTGAGATGCAACCAGATTGCTACACCCATTAAAAGGTACCTAGACCAGAGAAATCAGAGTTCAATTATTAAATATTTACTCAAAATCCCCCGAAAAGGAAGGTTACCCCAAAAGAAGTTATTTTCGTGGACTGGATATCCAGAGAGCAAACGCCTTTGTAATCATTTTGGGGATAAATAAAATCATTTTAACATTTTATGATTTGGCAATGTTCTTCCGTGAACTTTTCGCTTATTATTTTTGACCTTTTCGAATCACCAAAAGTTGCTGAGAGTTCCGTTCTGAGAAACATCTGCTTCAAAGACACTGTCATCCGTAGTGTGAAATCCAAGTGCTGGACCGAGGAATATGATGGAGAGATACCTACAGGTCAGGATTGTTCTGCAACAGAAGTAACTCTTCTAGCGAAATGCTGCAAGACATCTGGACTGTAAGTAAAACAATTTCGAGTCAGGGAGGGGGAAGAGCAAATAAAGTTGCCAATACAGTGCATATCAAGCATTGCAGTTTAGAATTGAGAAACCAGGTTTTGTAACTTTAATTATATATCTGTAAACTTGCAGTGTGAAAGGATCTCTGTTTCTTGATCACAGGGCGTTCTGGCAATGATTTCCCTCAGGGACAGAGATTATAGTTTTTGCATTCAATCGTCCTCTCTTTCTCTCTACCACATCCTGTTCTTGAGCGCGCAGATTTCATAGTGCCCTTTTTCTCATGCAACAAAACTGTTTTTTTTTCATTTCAAGTCAATTTCTATTCCATTTACAATCAATTTTATTCTAGAGCCTCTTAAAAAAATTTAATAGTTGAAGTTGAGGGTGTTTTCTTTCTATAAGGCGACCAAAACATTTCTGATCTGATTTATTATTTTTTTATAGAGATATACACATATATATTAAAAAGTACAAAAATACAGAATATAATGACAACAAAGTATTCCTCGATATGGTATAATCCTTAAGAACCAAGCAAAGTGATGAACAACAAATTTACATTTGTATAGCGCCTTTCACAATGTGTGTGTTGAAGGGTAAAGAAATCTGTTTTGAGAAAAAATCACAGAAGTTCTGGCGAAATGTGAACATTCTCAAGGGTTTTATAACAGCAGATGTTTATTTATTGGTTCACAGTTTTATTTTCTATTCTAGGCAACCCCAGAGCCACAAAGCTTCTGTGGCTAATGGGATGAGCAAGAAGTCTCCCCTAGACTTTAAACTATGCTATTCTAATGCCGTCCATAAGGAGGTGCACAAGGGCTGCCCACGAGTATGCTCCTAAATTATTTCTTTCTCAACTTGGTACCTCCTACCCTGCATGAGGTTGACATGGAAAACCCCAGCAGTGAAAGGGGATTGGTCCCACCAAAATGAGTTATTCAACACATCTCATCATCCTATGCCACTGCGTCAGAAACTGTGGAACTCTTTCCCTCAATCCCTTGGCCTTGCCTCCTCTCTCCCCATTTTCAGGTCGCACTTGAATACCTTCTTCTTTGACTGTGCTTACTATCCCCCTAGCTCGGTATCGGGCTCCCTCACTGTTAAGCGCTCCGAGATGCCATCTGGCATGAAGGGCGCTATAAAAATCCAAGCTGTTATTGTTATTATCATGCAGACCCAAGTAATGTATTCCCTTTATTTCATGGTCTGGTCCACGCCTTTATCACCTCAAGGCTGGACTATGGGAACTCTCTCCTTGCCGGCCTTCCCGGCACCTCCCTCCACAAGTTGCAGGTCATTCAGAACTCTGCAGCTCGTGTACTGTCCCGCACCAGGCTTCGGGACCACATCATTCCCACCCTCGCTAGCCTCCACTGGCTCCCCATCCCCCAAAGGATCGAATTCAAGATCCTCATCCTCACCTACAAGGTCATTCACGGCCTTGCTCCCTCCTACCTCTCTGACCTACTATCCCCCTACTTACCTGCCCATACCCTCCGTTCCTCTGGCTCCGGTCTGCTCCACATCCCCTGCCCCAACCGCCCTACCATCGGTGGCCGGGCCTTCAGCCTCTCAGCTCCTAGGCTCTGGAACTCCATCCCTCAGTGCCTTCGCCTTGCTTCTTCCCTTTCTTCCTTCAAGGCCGGTCTCAAGACCTTTCTCTTTGACCATGCCTTCAGCTCATCTCTCGACTCTCTACCCCCTCCTCGCTCCTTCCCGCCCCTCACCCTGACCATTTCCCCCCTGCTCGGGTCCTGACCCAACTGTCCAGTGCCTTGGGACGTCCTCCCGATGTGAAAAGTGCTTTATAAATGAAATCTTGTTGTTGTTGTTGTCTGCGATATCTCTAAAACTTAGTGAATGCTGTATGGAGACAATAACAAGGGAACATTACTCTTGTAATGGTGATCCAAAAAAATACATGCTAAAAAAAGAGTATTAGTTTCCAAGTTTACAAATGCAAACCACAGCATTCCTCTCTTATTTTAAATAACATGTGGTCTAGCTGCAGCTCTCATTGATCTTAAAAACAACATATTCTCAATGTTACCTGGTATATTTCTGTTTGCAATACCAAGCCAACTTTTGATTGCATTGTTGGAAGTGATGGTGACTGGAATGCTGATGCAATACTTTGACAGGACTACAATCTGAATTTTCAATGTGTAGATCCAAATAATAGAAAGCCCTTGCGATATTCAGTTTGAAATTTGAATTGGAACCATTGGATTTGCATCCAAATCTTTGCAATTTTCTATCCTAGCTAGAAGTTTACTCCATTGGCACCAACAAGGAAATCTAGAATAGTAGCAATTCTAAAGAGCGTAGCTTTAAAATCACATTCCTTTTCTTCCGTTACTTTTTTATTCCAATTGTTCTTTGGTTGAAACTCTTTGTTGCCATTATATTCTCATGACGTGCGCAACATTCGTGGTCAACTGCAGGTTATATTGCGCTCGGCAGTTAGTCTTGCTGAGTGGTTAGACGCCCTGCCAACTGATTCTAGCAGCTAGGAAGTGACTGTCCAGGTCTATGGCTGTGGCAGCCTGTTGCAGCAGTGGCTAGTGTTATTTTGTGAGCTGTCAAAGTAAGGAGGATGGGTGTGGAATCCTACAGATGATATCTAAACTATCTGTGGGCATCATTCATAGGGTATCAACTAGCTGTTGGCAATAGATCAGGAAAGGAGGAGACAAGATAAGGAGAATTTCAGCCTTAGCAGGGAGCTCTCCTAATTTTTGTTAGTACATTGACTCATATTGGTGGATGGTCAACAGGAACCTGAAGGATGCCATTGGAAGGAACCTTAGTGTTTGTTAATTTTTGGCACTAGGGAGGAGAATCTCCATGAGGAAGCTTAGAAGACAATGTCCTGAGTCCAGTTCTCTATCGTTTCACATGGTAATTTTCAGAGTAGACATGTCCTGCAAGATGTGAGATCTCTGGAGAATTCTATTGAGGCTTTGCGGGATTTCATTAATCCAAGAAGGAGAAGGTCTGATAAGCTGTTATATCAATCTAATATCCAGTTTATACTGTGCTTTTGGTGCTAAGAACCATAGGAAATCCAATATAAATCCAGCTTGAGCAGCACAACCTCAGTGGAGTTGACTTCATAGACCATTGGGCAGCAAGATATAAATGCTACAACTTTGCATTGACTTAGATTCTGCTCCAAAATTGCTTCTTAAAAGTTTACGTCAATCATAACCATAACAGCAACTTGTTTAAAATTAACACTAAAACCCAACAACAATTAATAAAATGTTGGGAATGAATTCAGTTGGACTCCTTTTTCCTGGCAGGAATCATTCTTCCCTATTGTTACTGTTTTTCTGCCAGATAATATTGTTTGATTCCAAAAGTTCACTTGTAATGAATTGTATTTTTGTAAAGATTTAAGACTTTTCTTTTTACCTGAGAACTGCTCTATGAATGTAAAGATTTTGTTTTGCATTTCACCCACAAAATATACAGTTTACAGAATATCATGTGAAGCGCTTTGAGATGTTTCATCGATGTCATCATGACCCAACTGTGCAGCGCCTTGGGACGTCCTCCTGACGTGAAAGGCGCTTTATAAATGGAATCTTGTTGTTGTCTTGTTGATGTGATAAGGAGCTAGATCAAATGCAAGGATTATTATTATTATTATTAAACTATTATTACAAACAAACCATTAGTTTGTTTGTTTTCTAATCAACAATGTACACTTACAGAGTGTTTTGCATACAGCATGTCTGTCTTTAAAATACTTTGCAGTTGACAACAGGAATCACCAAGCAAAGAGGGAAGGCATCTATTGCAAGCTTAGGCTGTCTAAATTGCTTTGCAAATGGCTTCCCATTATTTTCATGCTGAAAGTTTCCTGGAATGAACTTGTCTGAAATCCAACTGAAAATGGCATTTTGTATTATGGAATGTCCTGTGATGAGCTTTCCCAAAGGGAAGCACTCATAAAACACATCAGAACAATATAGATTTCAATCTCTCAAGTAGGATTAAGAGTATTACATTCTATTTTAACATACGAATGCTGTTTTTTTTTGTGTAGCGTGAGCTATAATAAGACGCAAACTTCCCATCTGCTTTGAAGCTGAAAGAGGTGCCTCTGTGGTCTTTTGTTTCTTGTTTCTTGTGGTTTGCGTTTCTGCCTTCATTACAATCAGGGTTTTTTGACTTGCAAGCCACAAATTCCAGGTTGGCAGCAGCAAAGATGGCAAAAGGTATCCATACAATTCCAGCACGGCGCTTTCATCCATTTCAAAGGCGCAGTTTTCAATAGAAAGGTTTTTTGTTGGGGGTTTTTTGACAGCTGCTGTTGGCCTGCAGGAAATTCTAACTTGCAAGCCAAAAATTCTCTGATGCTCCAAATGTTGCCGCAATGACCTGTGGTGGTGTTTGTTTACTGGTGGTGAGATATAGTGAAAGGATTGCCAGTTATCACTGCATTGGTGTCATTCACAAATGGGTGCCATCACCCTCTGCTTCTTTTCATTTTTATATCAATGACCATTCGGATTTTCAATATGAAATTATTCAATATTATTCAATCTTTTATGTGGCACTGACTCTCTGGGTTCAAATACACAAAAACATTATTGAATTGGGATTTAATCATTTTTTACATGAAAGCAAAATATCTCCATCTTATTCAAATCTTGCCCGAGGTTGATGGTAACTGTATAATAAATAACACATGTTTCTCCAGGCATTTCTTGTGTAAGGAAGGAATACAAAGCATCATCTGTCATGTGGAGTCCTGTAGCTCAGTGGTTAGAGCACTCGCTTTGTAAGCGAGAGACCTGAGTTCAATTCCAGGCAGAGGGCGAAACCTTGGGCAAGTTTCCTTACTCCACACAGAGCCTAATAATAATCCCTCCAAAACCAAAAACAATAATAAATTGGTCACTTTCAATCCACGACTGTTTGTGGGACATTGCTGTGCACAATTGGCTGCCGCGTTCGCCCATAAATATACAGTCAATTC